CATATCCTTCGGGATTTAAATATATCGCACTATTAATTTAAGGCGTTCCCCGTATTATACCGTCCCTATTTAATTTTTTATTTATAAAGCACGATATTTTACGGCTATTACAAACCGTTTACAAATTTTTTTACGTTTTTTTCCGGTAGCTAGCCGGTTCGGCACGTTAAAACATTTTTTTGGGCCATTCTTTTAGCCTTTATCATTTTTTTCCTGTAATACCCCCGTTTTTTCCGGGTATTTACCCGTTAAAGTCCGGTATTTTCCCTATCCTATAAACTCGCTTCCAATAAATTTGCTTTATACGTTTAAACAATTTTTTTCGTAATATTTTTTTTTGGAATTTACAAATTTTCCGATTCGTTATAACCTATTTATTTAACCAAGTATTTTCGTTTTCGCAAAAACCTTTTATATTCCAGCAAAGCCTTTACTTTAAAACAATCCTTTTTTTTTTTTCGATTTTTGGTTTTTTATTTTTTGGTTTTTCGCCGGGCCTTTTTTTAAACGCCCGCAACAAATTTGCTAAAAATACGTTATATATCCGGTAGCTTACCGAAAGCTTTAACCGGAACGCTAAACCGGCTAACCCAACCATTTTTAAAACTTAAAAAAGTTCCAACCATTTATTTAATAGCTTTTTTAACGGCTTTTTTATTTTAATGTTTGCCGTATTTAGCAATACTTAATTGCTTACCCCGAAAAGCACCGGGGTTTTGCCCTTATTATAATACTTTTTGTATATATTATTTGCTTTTTTTAGCAATTTTTTAACTTGCTTTTTAATTGTTTCCAAAGCCCCCGCCTTAATTTTAACCGTTGCCGAAGGTTTTTTTTTAACCACCCGAAAGTTATAAAGCTTTTGTAAATAAAATTTTATTAATAAAAACGCCGGGGTTTTTTGCAACCCCAAATGCACGCTCGTATTATGCACCCACGCTGCCAAGTGCAATAGCAACGCCCAATCGTTTTGCCTTTCGTAGCAAAAGCACCGAAAGTAATGCTTTACTGCCTGGTTTGTTCGTTCCGTTTGCCCGTCGGTTTAAAAATGGTATGCTATCGATAGCCTTTTTACAACCTTTAAATATCCGGCGAAAATTGTCCAAAACCCGTTTGTAAATAGCTTGTTCCGGTCCGATACAATCCTTTCGGGCGTTTTTAGCAACCCCCAAACGTATGCAAACAAAAGGTTCCCCAATTTTTTATTGGTTAATTTCGTAAACGTTGGGATAAAAAAGCTATATTTAATAAACCGGTTAACTATTACCAATATTGCGTCGCGCTTTTTGCCGGTTCCATTTATTAACGTTAAAAACTTTCCGATAAAATTTATCGATAGCTTTTGTTTCGGGCGGTTTGGCACGGGCAAAAATGCTAGCAACCCGTAAGGTACTTATATTTTCGGCTTTATTTGCTGGCATATTTAATACGTTCGTACGTATTTGCGTACGTTTTTAGCCATACCCGGCCATTTAAACTACCGTTTAAACTTTTTTAAAATTTTGGCTATGTTTTTGTAACCCTTTATCGGGCTATCGTATTGTTTTTAAAACATTACCCGTCGTAACGGCGCTAAATTCGGGACCTAAATTTTCCTTTTGTGCTTAAACAAACCGTTGCTAATTTTTTAAACGTTAAATTTGCTTTTTTAAGTACCGCTTTAAACGAAATCGTTTTTTGCTTGTGCTTTAAAAATGCGCTTTAATATCGTTTTGGTATCCCTTTTAATAATAATTGTCCTTACGTAAATTGCTTTTCGAAATTTGGCCAGCAAATTGTTTCGGAATTCTTTTTTTGCTATATTGGCCTTTCCGTCCATTGGTATATTTTAAAAACGTTTTAACAAACCATTCGCGGGGTTTCGGTATTTTGGCTTCCATTTAATCGTAAAATCGTACTTTATTAAATTTTCGAGCTATTTTATTTAGCGCTTTATTACCTTTTCCTTTATTAAAATATAAATATGGTTTAAATGGTTGGTAATTATTTTAATAATTTTTTATAAATAAGCTAAATAATGCCGTTACTTTTCGAAAGCTTTTACGATCGCTAGCAATTTTAAATTAAGAATTGTATAGCGCAACTTTTTTTATCGCAGTTTTTTTAATATGTAAGCTATCGGGTGCTACCGGCCGTTTTGCAGTTACAATAGCACCGCCCTTATTGCAAAAGCCAAAGCGTCGGTCCGTACGTATAACGATTTTAAAAGGTTAAAATGTACCAATACCGAAATTTTCGTAAACAATAATTTTAATTTGCAAAAAGCCTTTTTCGCAATATTTTTTAAGTAAAATACGGTATTTTTGCTAAAAAAGTTCGTTAAAAGCATAGTAATTTTCGCGTAACCCTTTACAAATTTCCGATAATACCCCGTAAAGCCCAAAAATACCTAAATGTTTTTAACGCTTTTCGGTATCCTTTATTTTAAAATTGCAATAACCTTATCCGGCAAAATTTCGACCCCGAATTTAGTTATTTTAAACCTTAAAAAGTCGATACTATCCATTTCGAATTTGTATTTGGCCGGGCTAACGTAAAGCTTAAACCGTTCGAATCGCTTTAGCACCGTTTTTATTACCTTGCGGTGCTTTTTTTGTATTTTCGAAAAAATAAGGATATCGTCCAAATACACGATGCAATTGCTATTAATTAATTTCCCAAACGCTATATTAATAAAGCTTTAAAACGTTGCTAAAGCGTTAGCCAAACCGAAAGGCATTATTAAGTACTCGTAATATTTATACTTGCAACGGAAAGCAATTTTCCATTCGTTTTTTTATCGAATCCGTATTTTATAATAAACGTTCTTTAAATCCAGCTTGGTAAAGTATTAATTTTTAAATACCCGGTTAAATATTTCGTAAATTAACGGAAATGTTAGCCGGTTTTTTTTGGTAATTTTATTAAAACCCTAATAATCGATACAAAGGCGAAACTTCCCGTCCTTTTTTAAAACGAATAGGATTTTGGCGCCGGCGGGGCTAATTAAATACCGAATTTAACCTTTCGTTATGGCTTTATCGAAATACCCCCGGAAAGTTTTTAATTCCTTTTCGGATAAAGGATAAATGCTTTTGTAAAACGGCATCGTTTTTTTTTTAATTCGATTGCGTAATTTTAGCTTATATATTTTAGCAAAAGGTTTGATTTATAAAATTGCGCATGTTTTGCAATTATTTTTTTAACCCATTTCGGGAAAGCTTTTAGCCCTTTTCCGGGGTTTTCCGGGGTTTTCGGGCGTATAACCGTTAATACGGTTATCGTTTGTTTTAATTGGATTAGCTTTTTAATTATTTCCAACGAAATTATTTTAACTTTTTTAATGGTTACCGAAAACCTTTACTTTATATTCCCAAACCGGATTTTAATATTTTTTTGTTGGAATTAAAGCATGCTTAACGTAATATCGTACCCGGTTTGGGGCACCATTACGTAAAACATTATTAACTTTCGGATTATTTCCTAGCTATTCGTTATTCGAATTTTATATTTTTTTACCTTTAGCGTAAGCATGCGTTTTTTGGTATCGAACCACGCTAAATAACCCCCGTTTAGCACCGGTATTTTTCCTGCTTCCATTAAAAAACGGCTGTACAATAAGTTAACGTTGCTTTTATTGTTAACCAACGCTTTTAATTTTACCCGGCAACCGTTAATCCGTAAATACATTTCGGTTTTCCAGCGCGTTTTGGCCGCCGGGGCGCACCTTTAAGCCCCGGTGCTTAAACGGCTAAACAACGGTATCGAATTGGGTAGCGATATTTTGCTTTTTTTAAAGCACGTTGGCCGGATATAGCCCAACTCCCCATACCCGTAATACCGTACTTTGGGCCTTTTCCCTTTTGCCCTTTGTATAATTGCTAAAGCCAACGGGGTTTCCGGGTTATCCGTTCGTATTTTGCATATTGCAATAATATAATTTAATTGCCCGCATTTAAAGTAAGTAACCGGCTTTTTAAAGGTTAGGATATTTATGTCCCCCGGGGTCCCTTTGTACGGTCCCGATATTATTTTTGCTGTAAGGGCTTTGGCTTGCAATTTTTTTATAATGTAAGGAAAGCTTTTAAATATTACCCGTTTTTAAATTTCGGGGCGAAACCGGTTAAAAAGCAATATCGTTTTTATCCATTTAAGTGCTAATTTGGAAAGGTTATCCTTTACCAAATCCTAACGAATCCGGAACGTTTCGAACAATTTGTAATCCTTTTATTTAATAGCAATATTTCCCGCAAATTTTTTAATTGCCAGCTATATCCGCAAATTGGGGTTTTTTAATTTTATTTAAAGCCACCGCAAAAAATCGGTTTAAATAAGCAATACCCCGGTATTTAAGTAATGCATTTGCTTGTATTTTGTTTATTATGCCCGTTAATAATGGTCGAAAGTGCTGGAAATTATTTAAATTTTTATACGGTTTTTACCGTAGCGTCCTTTTTCGCTTTCGAAAATAAACTTGTAATCGTTAATGTAATGGGCGATATTTTGCTAAATTGCCGATTTTTTAAGCATAAAAGGCTTAAAAATAATTTTGCTTTACGTAAAACCTTTCCGTTGTTTAAAAGTATTTTTTTTATTTTCGTTTAAACCTTTATGCGCATGCTTTAACCTTTTGTTTTGGATTTTTTAAATTAAACGGGCGCGTTTGTTTTAAACTTTTAGCGCGTTGTTTATTTTTTGCAATTTTTGTACGGAAAGGTTTTCGAAATCGTTGAAAATTTGCGGGGTTCCCTTAGTATTTTGTTCCGGTAATTTAACGGCCCTTTCCGACGTGCTCGACGTAGCGTTGGGCGTTATTATAAACGGTGCAAAATTGCAAATGCCCTTTTTAAATTTGCTCGATCCTTTTCGGTAATTACCCGGGCTTGCTCCCTAAATAAAAAAGGTATAAAAAAAGGAACAATATATTAAGGGTTAATCGGTACAAAAGCGGGTAATTACCGGGTTACGGGCCGGATACGGTATTTCTTTTATTAAGCTTTCGTAAATTTTTTACCAAAAGTGCTATCGCTAACAAAAATTATTCCTTTTTTAACCTTTTTTTCCCTTATACCCTTTCGGGCACCCGGGGTTGGTCCTTTAAATCCTTTGCGCTCCAAACGCTTTCGTGCAATTTAAACTTTACTTTATTTTTTAGCTTTGCTATTATGCTTTGGCCGCGATACCGGTAGCTCGCCGGCATATCCCCGGGGGGTCCGTGCCCGGCTAGCTGCCAGCGCCCCCTTTTTCTTTTTTTGCCGGGCGGTTTCGCCCATGCATTTAACGCTTCCCGCTTTTTGCCGGGCGGTTTCGCCCGTGCTCTTAACATTTGGGTTTGTTTAGGTACGAACGGTAAAAATTCCGGATGCGGTTATTTGCCTTTTCGAGGTTGCGGTAAGGTTTTTAAATTAAAGCGTAAAGTGCGGGCTATTTAATTTTGTACTAAAGGCTTTTCCGCGTTTTTTTAAAATCGAAAATTTTATCGAAAAACCATTTTTTATTATTATTGTTAGTATTTTTTTTTCCGTTAAAAAAACGCCGGTAGCTCGTTAATTATATCCTTTGTTAATGGCGTTTTGTTCCGGCAATTCCGGATGGTTCCGCTGGATTAACAAAGTGTGGAAAACAAAAAATAAACGGTATTGGGGCGGGAATTTAACGGTTAGGGCTCGTTTGTAAATTTTGGTAATAAAGAACGGGCCAATCCATTTATCGTTTAGTTTAGGGGTTGGCTTCGAAAATGTTATGTTTTTTGTATTTATTTAAATTTAATCCTTTGTAACGAACGTGTTTGGGTTGGTTCGGTAACGGTTGGCCGCTTTTTCGTACCGTTTTTAAGCTACGGTTGCTATTGTTTTAACATAATCGAAAATTATTTGGATTTTATCGGTTATCGTAAATGCATTATAAATTTTTCGTTGCTTTGCCGGCGTATCGTTGGTATTTAAAAAGGGAGCTGGTTCGGATTTTATGGAAAAGTTTTACCCGTAATTAGCGAAAAACGGTAAAATTTCCGTCGTTTTCGATATTTAATTGTTATTAACGAATTTTTCCAATAAAAACCAATTAACCCAATCGTTTTAATAATAAAAACAAAAGCTACGAAAATATTATTTTATGTACGCGTTTAGGATTTCCGTTTGCCCGTCGAACTTTAAATAAAACGCTAACAACTTTTTTAAAGTAACGTTTAAACGTTGCTGCAATTCCCGCCAAAAATTAAATACAAATTAAAGCTTTTTATCGAATACGATGGTTTTGGGGGTACCGTATTAACGGTACATTACCAATAAGTAAGCGTTTGCTAAGCTACCCGCATCGATAGTATTTATTGGAATGTAATGCTTTATTTTTGTTAATTTATCCATTATTACCAAAATATTAGTATAAATAATACCCCGGCGTTTATACGGCGGCAATGGGCCGATAAAGTTTATTAACAAATTTGCCCATGGTTTAAACGGGATTGGCAGCGGTTGGAATAGCCCGTTAAAAAAATGTTTTTTTTTTTAACCATTTTGCAAAAATAATAGCCCCGGACAAAAACGCTAACGTTCCGGGAAAGTTTTGGCCAAAAATATAATTTTTGCAATAAGTTGTATGTTTTGCTTTTTTTTGCGTAACCGCCAAATAATAAGCTATGCATTTTATGCAGTATTTGCAGTCGAAAAGCATCGTTTGGGGGGATAAATAGCCTTTTTTCGACGTAAATGCGCCTTTAAATCGTTTGGCAATTAGCTTTAGCAACTTTAAACGTTTTGCGCAAAAACGCTGGAAAATAACGGATGTTCGGGTTGGCAAAGCATTGTAATAAGTTTTAATAAAGTTTAAACGCGGAATAGCTTTTATTAATAAGCGCGTTAATGGGTTCGGAAATATTTAGCTGGTATAAGGAAAAATATTAAAATTGCGCCGGCGTTCCGTTTGCTTACCGTTTTAAAAGGAAAAGGATTTTGTGCTTATTAACAACGCGTTTGTTTGCAATAATATCGTAAAGCGTTGGTTTAACGCCGGAAGGTCGGGAAAAGGCGTTTGGTACAATGGTTGTTTTTTTTGGCTTGTATACGATTTGGAATTTAAAATTGTTAAAAAATTCGGATTAACGTATTTGCCGTTGGTTAAATAGCTTGGTAATAGCGAAAAACTGTAAGTTTTTGTAATTTGTCCAAATTTTTACTAGCGTTTCGGTTTTTTAAAGCTTCGATTTCCATTTTTTAAAAGCGCGTACGATTGCAAGCAATTCCTTATCGTAAATTTTGTAATTGCATTTAGCTAGTAAGTGCTTGGTTAAAAAAAAAGCGATGGGCCGGCGTACCTTAAGCGCATTTATTTGGGATAGCACCCCGCCCGTGGCCCAATTAAAAACGTCCGTTTTTACGATTGTTTTAAGGGTTGGGTCGTAATGTACGAGTACGATATCCAAGGAAAAAGCGGTTTTAAATTGGTAAAAGGCTGCCGTTACTTTAGCAAGCCATTGGCGCATTTATAGCTACTCGCTTATTAATAAATAAAAAGGTTTGGCGATAGCGGAAAAACTTTTAATAAACCGGCGATAAAAATTAGCAAAGCTTATAAAACGGCGGAATTCCTTTAAAATTATAAGCTATTTTTATTAACGGATTGTTTTAACCTTTTTTTGTTTATGCGGATTCCCGTAATTAAAATGATTAGGCCGAAATATTTGGTTTTTTGTATTAAAAATTTGCACTTTTAAATGTTAATAATAAAGTTCGCGTTAGCGAGTTTTTGGACCATTACGCGAACGTAACGCCGGTATTTCGCTTGCGTTTTGCTATAAATAAGGACGTTGTTAAGGTATGCTATAGCGTAACGGTTTAATGCATTTAATAAAGTGCGGTTAATATAATACTAAAAGGAATTAGGGGCGTTTGTTATACCGAAATTCGTTACCAAGCATTTAAAAAAGCCGAACCTGGTAATAAACGCTATTTTTTATTCGTTTTTTAAAGCGATTCGTAAACGGTTAAACGCCGCAATAATATCCAATTTGGTAAAGTACTTAGCTTTTAAAAAGGCGTTTAGTATTTTTTTAATTAAAAGGATAAAATATTTGTTTTTTACGGTAACGTTGTTTAAACCCCGGTAATTAATACAAACGCGGATTCCCCCCCCGGGCTTTTTTGCTAAAAGAACCGGGGCAACCGCTAGCAATATATTGTTGCGTATAAAGCTTTTCGCTAAGTATTTGTTTAAATACTTCCTAACAATTCGAAACTCCTTTTAAAATATAAATTTATTATGGTAATAAAAGGGCGTTTTGCTTGGGAGCAATTCGATTTTGTAATTGGAAAGGCGGTACGGTAATAGCTTGTTAGCGTTTTAAAAAAAAAAGTATAATGCTAAATCGCGGAATTTGTAAAAAAAGCGCTATAAAATTTCCTTTATCGTAACGGGGGGCTTGCTATCCAGGTATTTTTGGATATTATCGTTAAAAATGCGCCGAAAGTATGGTACTTTTTTAACCTAATTTTAAAATGCAGCTAAGCGTAATTTTAGCATATCCCGAAAAATTTTATCGGACAAGGTTAAAATGGAGCGAAAGATTTCCATTAACGTATTGTTAGCGAGCTAATCGGCGCTTATTAAGGGTATTAAAAATTCGGGGCAAGTTTTAGCGTAAAGCTCCGCCATGGTTGTTCGTTTAAATTGCACGCCTTTTTGTTTGCAAAATAGTATAAAATTGGAAGCGCTAAGCATGCGTATATTTGCGGGGTCGAATTTGTTATCGTTATTTTTTAAACGGTTGCGTAATGGGTTGCTAGCGTTCGGGTTTAATTTTAATAGCGTAATGCCGTGCATAATTATTAAGCCCGTTATTTAATTAATGTAAGGGTTATAATAACGTAACCAAAAAAGCTTTAATATAATGTTAAAACTTCCCGTTCCCAATAGCCAAATGTACATAGTAAGCGTTTTTATTTAGCAAGCGATACGGTAGCGCATTTTAATGCATTTGCGAAAGTAGCCCGTAACTTTGCCATTAGCCAATTTTAAAAGGATGGGTTTGGGCAAAGCAAAGCGTAATAAGTTATAGTTATGCGCAAAGGTATCGTTAACAAATGCTTATAAAAAACATCCGGTATTTAAAAGGGTACGGTACCGGGTTGGTAGCGTTTTTTTAGCAAAAAGCTCGCTGTAAAATAAAAAAATAAAGTTAAATCTTATTAAATGTAAATATACTTTTGTTTTTTTTAAAAAGTTATTAGCGAAACGTTAATAGCTTTAAAAGCGATTGTACCCAAAACTTATTTTTTTGGCTTTTTTTTTTTTGTGCAAACGGCTATTTAGTGCCCCGCCCCGCCGCAATAAAAGCATAAGTTATTGGTGCGCTTGTACTCCTTTCGGGCGTTAATAAAGGGGGGTCGGGGCTTTATCGTAATTTTATCGAAATTTATAGCGTTTAAATGCTAGGCCGGTCCCGGCGCATCGTTAGCGTTGGGATAGCGTGTTAAAGGATAAGCGTTAGCGTTTTGCTTGCCCCGGAAAATGTTATTAACGATATTATTGGCTAGGTTTCGAAACAAGCTTATTTATTTTTCGAAATCGTCAGGTTCCGAACGTTTTACAATTAACGTAATGGCTTTATGCAATAAGCGATTTACTTTTTGCTTAAAGGTTAGTATTTATAAATTATTAAGCAAATTGTACATATTGCTAAATTTAATAAAATTGCCGATAAAATCGCCGAAAAAAAAATTGCTTTGGGCAAATAATTTAAAATTCCAATTGGCTTTTGCTAATATATTGGTAGTAATGTAAATTTAATTTAGCGTTTTAATAACGTTTGGGTAATTACGCTAGCCGGCGGGCCATTGGAAAACGTTATTACCGGCCGTAACAATTTGGTCGATTTTTATCCTTATAAAAGCAAAAGCGTCGTCGTTTAAATGCTGGGATAAAAAAAGAACGCGTTTTAATAGCGTTAAAAAAGCGGCCCGGTATAATCCTATTTATATTTTAAGCAAAAAGCGTTAATTGGTATAATGCTTTTGTCGCTGGATTTGGTCCATTTTTATGCCTTTAAAAATTTCGAAAATGGCCGTTCGGGGGCGGATTGCTAGCGATAACGCGGCGGCCCCAAAAGGTTGCGTTAAAAAGGGCGTATTTGTAGCTAATGTAAGTATGGTTTGGTTAAATAATTATTGGATTTAAACTTAAAATTCGCAAATCGTTATTTTTTGGTCCGAAATTATAGCGTGGGCGGTATTGGCGTTTTAACGGTATATCGCTAGCAATTTGTTAATAGTTCGAAAACGGGTTTTTATAACCCGAAAAATATATTTAAATTAAATTTGGGTTTTGTTGGAACGTTCCAAATGCAAAACGAAATATAAAATGGCGTAAACGTTAGGGTCGTTTTAAATTGCTTTGCGTATAAAATGCAAGGTTGGAAATAAAAAAACGGCGTTTTGTAAAATTGTTATTATCGGGCTTAAAAGGCCCGTTTTGGGGGCGTTGGATGCGGTAAGCATAATATAACCGCGGCGGTAATTCGCCAGCGGGTTATTTGGTTAAAAAAGCTAAATCGGGGAAATAAAAGTATTTTTTTAAAGTTATACGGCAAGATTTAGGGTAGGTATCGACGTTAATCGATCGTAAGCAAAGAAGTGTGCTACCGTTTTACAAGGTTATTAGCAAAAAAAAGGACGGAACATGTTAATATTGGGTTCCGAAAATTTAAAATGCAACAAATTGCTACGGCTTATACTTTATTGTTATAAAAAAGGCTTTGTTATTGCACGAAAAGGAAGTTATTTGGGCAGGGCGTCCCTGGCGTTTTGTCGCGGTTTTGTAAGCGTAACGTTGGCGCGTTAAGAGTGCGGCTTTAGGTTCTTCCCCAGGTGCCCCAACGCGTACCGTAACAAAATCCTTATCGTTTTTTAACGTAAATTTAAATCGTTGTAATGCATTTATTTTAATTTAGCATTCGTAGCATATTTTATTAATTATTTCCAGCGCGTTGCAATTTGTATTGTAGCTTGCCCGTTGGAAAGTTTTATGCAATTTATTAACGAAAAGGTAATTAAATCGTTTGTAAACGCGCCGTAGCTCGGTTTTTATTAAAAACAAAAATCCCGCGATTTTTTTTTTAGCGGCCATCGAAATTTTGTTTATAACGTATATCGATGCGTTAAAAAAAAACCATGGGTAACCGAAGCGTTTAATAATCCGCACGCGCGTTCCGTTATGCTTTACGAACTTGTTGCGCGTATTGTTAAAATATATACTTAACGCGTCCATATTTTTAAGTAATAAAAGGAATAGTATTGGGCTATTAAGAACGTAAAACGTAATGTTGCTAATAAGGGTTGGTACAATAATCGCGCTAATGTTAAATTCGGTATTTCCTGTTTTAAAAGCTACAGGATGCTTGGGTACTTTGTAATCGATTTTAAGCTTTTTTATGTATTGTTGCAATGTTTAAATTTGGTTAATTCCAGCCGTTAAATTAATTGCCGCGCCGGTGTTTGGCAGGATGCCGTGCCATTGGGTATTGCTACCAATGTTGTTGTAAATAAGCATTTCGTAAATGGGAGCTTTAATCCTGGCTTTTTGTGCTTTTTAAGCGTTTTTTGCAAATAAACGGTACTTTTATAATTTATTTATAAGGTACGATGCTATACTTTGTATAAAGTACGTTGTTGCATGTTTTTTTTGGTTGTTTTCGTAATTATAATTATTAATTGGCTTTTCGTTATCCTTTTTTAATGCGCTTTTGCTTTTTAAATCGTTTGGTTTAATAATTAAAAGGAATTTCCAATAGCCAATTGGGGTTTTGCCTTTATCTTTTTGCTTTTAACGCTAGCGTTTTTTATGCCTTTCCTATTTTTTTTTAAATACTTTGTTAATCGGTAATTGGGCTTTTTGCAAATTTAATAATTTTGTTTGGCATATAAGTTGTAAGCTCGTTTTTGCTTTTATCCTTGCTTTTATTAATTTCGTTGATTTTTGCCTTTGTACTTCCGTTCCGTATAATGTTGTGCCGGGATTTTGTTATTGTCCTTAATTTTTATAACATTGCGGAATATATTGGAAAAGCTTTTAAAAGTATTGGAATGGTTAAATAACGCCATTTCGAGCTCGGGAATTTTTTAAATTGCCTTTGCTATATTCGCTACAAACTGCTATTTATTACTAAAATTTGGGCTTAACGTTTGGTAATATCGTTGCAATTTGTCGAAAAGTTTTTGCAAAATTTCGATATTCGTTTTCCCGGTGCTTACAAGCTTTAAACGAACGGTTTAAAAATAAATTGTCGTTTAATTTATTTAATATTGGGCTTGCACAATTTTTATTTCGAAATGATTTTTAAATGCAAAATAAATAATTCGGAAAATAAATATGGGGCCGATATAATTAACGTAATATTTATTCGCTTTGCTTTTTAAAATGTAAAAATATAGCGCGTAAAGCTATAAATAATTTATCCCGAGCATTTAAACGTAAATTGTAAAGTAAAAAAGCTTATTGTTAATAATGTTATACGGTTTTTTTGTATACGAATATATATCGTTCCAAATGGTTTTAAAGGTGCGTATAGTAATTGCATCGATTAATGCATTAATTATTTCCCGTAAAAGGATTTAACGATAGTTAATTTTTTTGGTGTAAAAGTAACGAAGTAAAATGTAAAGGGGTTGGTTATGTAACGAATGGTAAGCATGGCTAAAAGGGTTTGGTAACGGTTTTCGAAAAGGCGGTTTTTAAAAGGGCGGTTTAAAAAGTAACGGAAGCGGAGGGTATAATTTTGTATTTCGTGCATTTAATTTTTGTTTTTCCTTTGCGCGTTCGCGCTTTAAAACGTTAATTATAAAATTTTCGTGCTTTTATTTTTTTGTTTGTAACGGGTATTTTGGCCATGGTTATATAAGTTAGGGTAATTGGAAAAATTGGGGTAAAATTGTGCTTTTGCGCTTTTTCGCAAAGGTATATTACGGTTTTTGCTATTTTTGGAACGATATGGTTCGAAGGTTGGGGCAAAAAGGTAATTTTATTTTGCTTAATGCTTTTATAAAAATTATTGGAAAATTTGTTTTTTAGCTTTTTTGCGCTTTAAATTGTGCTTTCGGTAATTGTTCGTTTTTTACCGCTTTTTGCGTTGTATCGATTGGTTAAAAAAAACGTTTTAAAAAGTGGTTAACGGGAAAGCATAAGGTTTGGAAATGGTAGCTTTATAAGCTTTTTGCTTTTGCTTTTGGTTAATCGTAACGTTAGGCTTAGCGTAAGGCTTGGTTTTACAATAAAAATTTGTAATTAATTAAAAATTTCCGTTAATTTTTCGCCGAATGTTTTTGGGTTAAAGGTAAAAAAATGGATCCTTTGCTTTCGGAAATGGCTTTGTAGGAATTGTTAAATTGTTGGATTTACCGCGTTAAAATTTGTTTTAATCCAGCCGTTAAAATTTTCTTTAAAATCGGTTAACGTATCGTTGGGATTTAATTTTTTCCAATTGTTGTATATCCACTTAATAATCCACGTATTTTTGCCGATTGCGGAAACGCTTATTACGTGCTTAACGATTTTGTAATTAAGGTGGTTAAGGAAAAAGAAATAAAAAATCGATAAAAGGTTTAAGGAAAAGCTTAAAGTATCGATAACTTTTTTTGCATAAAATGCTTATTTTTTGCAAAACATTTTTGTGCTTGTCGGGCTTTAATCCTATTTATTAAAAATCGCGTAAACGGAAAATTCTCCTTTTTCCATAATAAAATGGTAAAAAAAATGGTAAACGGTATTATTTAGGGCAATCCGTCTTAACTATTTAAACCGGGTTAAAATGTTAGCTCGGGGGATTGCATAGCGCCCCCTTTTAAAGCTCTTTTAATTTTAATGGCCGAAAGCAAATGAAAAATGCGCTGCCGAGCGTTGAACCAACAATTCTCAGTTTTTAAATCTTTTACTTAACCTTAATTAATTAAAGGACCCTTTTCCTTGCTTTTTTGTATTGCTTTTTGCAATATTAATTAATGTAAAAAGGACTTTAAAGTAAAATTTTATGCTCGTAAATCTTTAAACGGCGTAAAACTAAAGTTTAATAATTATTAAAAGGTAATTAAGTTAAAATATTGTTATTTAGGTTTAAGGAGGAAAAAATCTTGCTGGAAAAAAGGGACGGATCCAACCTCCTTATATAAGTACAAAGGAGCTTTGGATGGTTGGTGCACAAATCCCGGATTTGTGCATGGCGGTCCTCTAAAGCTTGTGCATGCGCCTAACAAATAAGTTCCAACATTTTCCTTTATTAAAATATGGGTATGGTTTAAATAGTTGGTAATTACTTTAACAATTTTTTGTAAATAAGCTAAATAATGCCGTTACTTTTTAAAAGCTTTTACGATCGCTAGCAATTTTAAATTAAGGATTGCATAACGCAATTTTCTTTATTGCAGCTTTTTCAACATGTAAATTACCGGGTGCCACCGGCCGTTTTGCAATTGCAGCAATACCGCTTTTATTGCAAAAGCCAAAGCGTTAATCCGCACGCACAGCAATTTCGAAAGGTCGAAATGCACCAATACCGAAACTTTTGTAAATAGCAACTTTAATTTGCAAAAAGCCTTTTTCGCAACATTTTTTAAATAAAATACGGTATTTTTGCTAAAAAGGTCCGTTAAAAGCACAGTAATTTTCGCGTAACCCTTTACGAATTTCCGATAATACCCCGTAAAGCCCAAAAATACCTGGATATCCTTAACGCTTTCCGGTATTTTTTATTTTAAAATTGCAACAATTTTATCCGGCAAAATTTTAACCCCGAATTTGGTTATTTTAAACCTTAAAAAGTCGATACTATCCGTTTTAAATTCGCATTTAGCCGGGCTAACGTAAAGTTTAAACCGTTTAAATCGTTTTAGCACCGTTTTTATTGCTTCGCAGTGCTTTTTTTGTATTTTCGAAAAAATAAAAATATTATTTAAATATACAATGCAATTGTCCTCGTGGCGCAGTGGTTCAGCGCTGGGAGGTCCTTTTTGGAAGACGCAGGTTCGATTCCTGCCGGGGACACCGGGTTTTTTGTTTTGCACGTGCAAAAAAGCGATTTATTAAGCCCTAAACCGTTCCGACGTTTTTCCGAACAGTTAGTCCTTACAACAAAAAAAGCCCACAGCAACAAAAAACTTTATCCTTATCGACGAGCCTTATGGCACCCACGTGCGACCTTCCTTCGATTCCAGCGAAGCCATTTGCGACCCGTTAGCGGGGTTCCCTACCCCCGAGCTTTGTAACGCACGTACCGAAGGTTTAAGCAAAAGGCCCCTTTAAAGCACGTGCAGCCTATGGACGCACAGGTTATAAAGCAAGCAAAAAAATAAGGACTTCGGGCCAAAATAAATCCGACCGGCTATCGAAATAGTAGCGCCGGGGTTGCGGCGAAAGATAAAGGTACCGATAGCAACGAAAGCAATTCCGATAACAAAATTGGCCGATAAAATAATGGCACCAATTAAAAAAAAGGAAAGGACCGCTTTCGAAAAGGCGCGTTTGGCCCGGAAAATAAAAGGAATACGCCCTGGCTGGAAAAGGTAAAACCTAATAATCGACGAGTAAGCTTTATGGTAAAATAAAATATTGCTAATTCGGTCGTTTAAATTTTGCAAATAAAACCCGGATCGTAATGTGCTACTTAAAATCGTAGCGCGTGGGTTGTAGCGCGCTTTTTATGCACGCTCGTGTTCGTGCCTTTTTAATTACTAATGTAACTTTATGTGCAGGATTTTTACTTACGAAAAAAACGCGCAATTGCAAAGCTTTCGAAAGGAAGGGGTTTTTATCCAGCCTTATACCAAATAGCTATCGGCTGGAGGCACGGTTTTTTCCTTTATGTAGTTAACCCGATCCGTAGTGCTCCCCATGTGCTATACAGTTCGAACGGGGTAAATAAATCTATATATATACAATGCAATTGCTATTAATTAATTCCCCAAACGCTATATTAATAAAGCTTTGGAACGTTGTTAAAGCGTTGGCTAAACCGAAAGGCATTATTAAATATTCGTAATGTCCATATTTGCAGCAAAAAGCAATTTTCCATTCGTTTCCTTATCGAATTCGTATTTTGTAATAAACGTTTTTTAAATCCAATTTAGTAAAGTACTAATTTTTAAATACCCGGTCGAATATTTCGTAAATTAGCGGGAATGCTAGCCGGTTTTTTTTAATAACCCTATTAAAACTTTAATAATTAATATAAAGGCAAAGCTTTCCGTCCTTTTTTAAAACGAACAGGATTTCGGCGCCGGCGGGGTTAATTAAATGCCGGATCCAACCCTTTGCTATAATTTCGTCGAAATACTTCCGGAAAGTTTTTAATTCCTTTTCGGATAAAAAATAAATGCTTTTGTAAAACGGCATCGTTTTTTTTCCAATTCGATTGCGTAATTCCAATTTATATATTTTAGCAAAAGGTTTAATTTATAAAGCTACGCATATTTTGCAATTATTTTTTTAACCCATTCCGAAAAAGCTTCCAACCTTTTCCCGGGGTTTTTTGGGGTTTCCGGGCGTGCAATCGTTAGTACGGTTATTATTTGTTCCAATTAAATTAGCTTTTTAACTATTTCCAACGAAATTATTTTAACTTTTTTAATGGTTACCGAAAACTTTTATTTTATATTTCCAAACCGGATTTTAATATTTTTTTGTTAAAATTAAAATATGCTTAACGTAATGTTGTACCCGGCCCGGGGCATTATTACGTAAAACACCATTAACTTTCGGGTTATTTCCTAATTATCCGTTACCCAAATTTTGTACTTTTTTACCCTTAGCGTAAGCATGCGTTTTTTGGTATTAAGCCACGCCAGGTAGCCCCCGTTTGGCACCGGTATCTTTTTTGCTTTTACCAAAAAACGGTTATGCAATAAATTAACGTTGCTCCCGTTATTAACCAGCGCTTTTAACTTTACCCGGCGACCGTTAATCCGTAAATACATTTCGGTTTTCCAGCGCGTTTTAACCGTTAAAGCGCACTTTTAAACCCCGGTATTTAAACGGCCAAACAACGGTGTTAAATTGGGTAGCGATATTTTGCTTTTTTTAAAGCACGCTGGCCGGATATAGCCCAATTCTTTACATTTGTAATACCGTACTTCGGGCTTTTTCCCTTTTGCCTTTTGTATGGTTGTTAAAGCCAACGGGGTTTCCGGGTTATCCGTCCGTATTTTGCATGCTATAGCAATATGGTTTAATTGCCCGCATTTAAAATAAATAACCGGCTTTTTAAAGGCTAAAATATTTATATCCCCCGGGGTTTTTTTGTGCGGTTCCGATATTATTTTTGCTTTAAAAGCTTTAGCTTGCAATTTTTCCATAATATAAAAAAGGTTTTTAAATATTACCCGTTTTTGGATTTCGGGGCGGAACCGGTTAAAAAGCAATATTATTTTTATCCATTCGGGTATTAATTCGGAAAAATTATTTTTTACCAAATCCTAACGAATCCGGAACGCTTTAAACGATTTGTAATCCTTTTGCTTAATAGCGATATTTCCCGCAAGCTTTTTAATTGCCAATTATATTTGCAAATCGGGGTTTTTTAATTTTGTTTAAAGCCATTGCAAAAAATCGGTTTAAATAAACGATACCCCGGTATTTGGATAATGCATTTGCTTATATTTTGTCCATTATGCCCGTTGCTAATAATTAAAAGTGCTAAAAGCTATTTAAACTTTTACACGGTTTTTACCGTAACGTTCCCTTTCGCTTTCGAAAATAAATTCGTAATTGTTAATATAATGGGCAATATTTTGCCAAATTGCCGATTTTTTAAGCATAAAAAGCTTAAAAATAATTTTGCTTTACGTAAAGCTTTTCCATTGCTTAAAAGTGTTTTTTTTATTTTCGTTTAAACCTTTATGCGTATGCTTTAACCTTTTGTTTTGAATTTTTTAAATTAAACGGGCGCGTTTGTTTTAAATTTTTAGCGCGTTGTTTATTTTTTGCAGCTTTTCCACGAAAAGGTTTTCGAAATCGTCGGGAATTTGCGGGGTTTTTTTGGTATTTTGTTCCGGTAGCCCAACGGCCCTTTTTAACGTGCTTAACGTAGCGTTAAGCGTTATTATAAGCGGTACAAAATCGTAAATGCCCTTTTTAAGCTTGTTCGATCCCTTTCGGTAATTACCCGGGCTTGCTCCCTAAATAAAAAAGGTAAAAAAAAGGAACAATATGTTAAGGGTTAATTGGTGCAAAGGCGGGTAATTACCGGGTTACGGGCCGGATACGGTATTTTTTTTGTTAAACCTCCGTAAATTTTTTACCAAAAGTGCTATCGCTAATAAAAATTATTCTTTTTTTAACCTTCCTTTTTTTCGTGCCCTTTCGGGCACCCGGGGTTGGTTTTTTAAATTTTCCGCGCTCCAAGCGCCTTCGTGCAATTTAAGCTTTACCTTATTTTTTAGCTTCGCCATTATGCTTTGGCCGCGACACCGGCACCTCGCCGGCACGTTACCAAAAGGGTCCGTGCCCGGCCAACTATGCCAGTGCCCCCTTCCTCCTTTCTGCCGGGCGGTCTCGCCCGTGCATCTGACGCTCCCCGCTTTCTGCCGGGCGGTCTCGCCCGTGCTCCTGACAGTAATGCACCACAAGGCGGGCCACGTCCTAATTTTGGCCCAAGGCTGGCGGTCGCACCTACATCCCCTGTGTCCACTAGTCGAAGGGACGTACGGGCCTGCAGTTCTCGCAAATCACGACGTTCGTCTCGCAAGGAGGGATTTGGGACCACGTCAAGGCGCTCCAGCACCACCGGTTAATGCAGCGGCGCGCCCGCAACCGCATGTTCGACACCACCGAGCGGTTCTGGGTGTCTCCCAAGCTGTTTGCGTGGTCGCAGAGGGTCGCGTCGGGCATGGCACTCATCAAGGGAAACTCGCGCGCGCGCGGTTCTCGATGTGGGACTTTGCGGTCGAGCTAATCAAGGAGCGGCAGCACCAGAACTGTCCGGTGCTGTGGGCGCTGCCAAACCCATCCGCGGATGGGTCGGCTTCCTCCTCGTCTGACTCCGAGCCCCAGGATGGGGGCATGTCGCTCATCGACGTCCTGAAGCATCTCGACTATTAGGCAATGCGGCTTCCCCGAAGCTCAACCGAGAGTACCATGTCGCTGCGGTGCGGCCAATTCCACAGAGCAATGACGGAGCAGGAGTGGATGGACCTGCTCGGCTCGACCCTTGTGGGAGCCTCGCAGTTGTACATGGTTGTGGACGACTCCACAGTGGACCCGATTCTACAGGCAGCATGCGATTTCCGGTGGCAGCTGGCGCTCGAGCGTCTGTTCGCCGAGGTCGGGAAGCGGGCGCCGAATCTCCGCATCAAGATCATGTTCCTCAGCTACGGCACAAGCTAATGGGTCTAGGAAGGGTCCTCGGTCGTCATAGTGCCGGTCAGGATCTACCAGACGCCGGTCCGGAAGCGGAAGCACGTTGCAAAGGGGCAGGGCCTATAGCGCCGTGGGACACAGCGTCGTCAGTTTTGACTGAGGGGCAACTCAATGGTGCCTGTCGACATTCCCAGCAGGAAGGGTTTACCTACAAGCTAGTTCTGCCGCATATTTTCGGGCCCTCGATCATGTCGCCAACGTATCTGTTGGCGCGTGCCACCCACGCATGGTTTTTGTTGTGCCCGTAAAGGCACCGGCCAGGCGTTTGATTGGTGATGTCGTCCCAACCCTCAGCCATTGGCGGAGCTGCATTCTGCGAGGCATGTGACCGCAAGAGACTGCTCGCCTCCGTTCCTCCACCGGTCAGGCTAGTTGGCCGTACCGTGGGTATCCGTTACGCTCCTTGGGCCGCGGCTGCCTGTGAGAGAGCGCTGGATAACACAGCCCCATTGGCTCATGGGATGCCTTGGCTGCCCACACAAGCTCGCCAAACAGCACCACCTCATCATCGTCACGGGCATGGATGCGAACTGGCATGTGGTATTTGCGGCTGCTCTGCTATCTGGCCGCCTTGAAAAATGCATGTTGGCTGAGGCGGTGGTTGTTGACGTTCTGCAGCTTCTTTCCCTCATAAAGTGACAAACATCAACAAGCCTGTTTTCAATATGGTATGGTTGCGGTGGAGAAATATTTACATAGCTTGATTGGAAGCCTTGACCTCAGACACAAACTTTTGGATAAAAGTACCGTTTAGACTCTCATTGGGCGACGTGGCTCCCCTAGCTTCTCTGTTTATCCATGATCACGCGGGTCATGTCAAGTGAACGGATATCGTTCTGGAGATGGGGGTTCCATCGCCGGCCTTGTCCATCTGCGCGATCCCCGTCTGGCGGCGCGGGAAGTCGCCGTCGACGGCAGCGGGCGTCTCGGGGCTCGGCCTGCCCGCCTTTCCCGAGACGGCGGCGAGTGCCCTCCTCTTTTTGTGGTTCTCGATGGGCACAGCGTCGGCCGCGGGCGCGGCGCGTGCCTCGGACCGCCGACGCTTGAGCGCGACGGCCATGCGGCAGCGCGGCGAGCGCGCCGTATGCTCCTCGAACGGGTCGTCGTCGGGCTCCCAGCCGTCGACGGAGAGCTCGCACGACGGGCACGTGGTGCCGTCCATGGGGTGCGGCGGATGGTCCTCGCCGCCGACGGTGTCGCCACCCTCCTCCTCCTCCCCGGTCGGCGGCGACATGGGGGGCGAAAGGTGGCCCATGCCGGGGGGCAGGCCGGTCACGATGCCATAGGGGTCGTAGAAGAAGCCGGCGGCGGCGAGGTCCTCGGGCGCCGGTCGCGCGTGCGGCCACGGGTGGGGGTTCTTCCTGAATGACGCCAGCCTTGCATGGGGTGCGTTGTAGTCGCCGATGCTGAGCATCACTTTTTGTTGAGCTGCTGGTGCCGACCGTGGCGGCAGCATCGTCACTATTTCCGAGTGGCCGGCGCCCTCGCCCTCTCTCTTGGGCAGCATGATGGACTTGTCGTCGTCTCGTATCGTGGCGTACCGGGCTTGGTTAAAGAGATATATCAAAGTAGGCGTCGCTGGGCAGCAACGACCAGAGGCTACAGTGACGCTGGGTGTAGATGTTTGTGACGGGAGGATGAAAAGTGGGGAACTATATCTAACCTCGAGGCTGGGTGAAGGACGTGATTTCCTTTTTGGGCGTTTGAGGATGCAGCGTTTGCAATGCAGCGTTTGCAGCCACGTGCTCGCCTCAGTCTGGTTCGTATCTTGACGTTACTAAGCCGGACGAAAAGCGCGCAAGTCGACGACAGATGCGAACGCGTCATGCATCTAACCGAGAAGGCGCGCGCGGAACAAGTAGGGTGTATTCGACGAGCTCGACTGAGCAATAGCTGTAGCGAAGGAGAGACGGACAGGATCGGATTTGGGAGGTAGAATGTTAGCTAGCGACGCGCTGAGACTGCTGTCAGCCAGGCACTTCTAGGTGGGTGAAATTAGTAGTAGAAAGATGGAATGCGGTGGCCAAGGGAGGGGCTGCGAGGAATAAGGCAAATTTGTGGGCAGGCATCATCCCGCGTTCTTTTTCTGTGAGCACAGGGAAGGCATGCGGCTGAGGTTGGGATCACCCGCCGAGGCAAGAACGGCCGGCGGGCATGACAGCTAACAAGGGGAGGATAGCGACTAATTTAGTCCGGGCCGCACGGCTCTGGGCTGAATCTGGGGAAATAAAGAAACGCGAAAGAGCTGGCATCCTTGGCCAACGCTTTTTATATATCACCCCCAGTTTTGGCGGGAATATGGTAGTCCAAAAATGGCCAGAGCCTGGCCTGGTGTTTCAGCTGGATACTATCGGGAAAACTCCCGAGCGAGTTTCAAGACGAGAACTATGTAGAAACCTTCGGTATATAAATCCGAAAATAAGCATTATACGATCCGGTAGGTGGTCTTGTGTTGGGCGGCGGGTGTAGCTCTGTCATACCCAAACCCCAACCCCAGCGATATGCGCCCCCTGGCTTGAGGATTTGAGATCGCCACTGTGTTATCTGTGCCGGAGATTCCACCTGGTTGGAGGACAGACCTGGGGCCCGGCACGGCGACGAACTCGACTCGGGTCAATAACCATGGGCGTCGGGGATGTAGTAAAGGCCCTGAGGCTGGTCCGTTGCAAACGAGACGCTCAAAAAGTCCATGATCCACGGCTCCGAGGCCTGGTCAATGACTGCATTGTCGAGAAAGGCGAGATCGTCCGAGAAATCCGCAGAACTGAAAGCATCGGCCCTGAAGCTGGAGGATTGCGGGTCGGGCAGTTCCAGAGACTCCGGAGGCTGTGGCTGCTGTGGTGGCGGCGGCGGCGGCTCGCAGGTCTGCTCTTTTTGCTGCGCGTCCTTGTCTCCGGAACGCTGCTCCTGCTCGCGCTGCCGCTTCATGTGTTCGGGCAACTGGCTCAGCATCATCCCCTTGATTATCCTCAGGTGCGCCGCCGCCTTGAAGAACAGGCCTCTCCTGGGCCCTGGCGCGTCCACCATTTCGTAGGCCCCGGGGATTTTGCCCATCTCGTCGCAGAGCGTGTCTATCACCTTGAAGACGTCGGCCCGCCTCCTGATGTCGGCAAGGTCCAAACCGGGGCCGCCGTCGCCGTCGCCGTGGCATTTGTCATCGGGCAGCGTGTGGAGACGGAAGAGTTGGACGAGGCAGTGCGTCATTTGCACGTAGCCGTTCAGGTCGACGTCTGCAATCCACCCGAGCGGATCCGCTGCTGTTTGGAACGCAGCCATCCACTGCTCACAGGCTTCCAGCACCGCCTCCAGCTCCCGGGCCCGGCGTATGTTGCTGGGCACGCCCGCGTTCCCGGCGGGCTGCCAGGACTGACGCTCACCAGGCCTGTCTAGACAGAGACCTTTGATGGCTAGTTCCACGTGCAGCAGGTATCTCTTGTTGCATCTCCAGACCTGGGCAAAGGATGGCATCTTTTGACGAACCGCATTTAGCTGCTGGAGGAGTGTTGTGGTCATGAACTCGGAAGGTCCGATGGGGCTGCCGTTCTGGGAAGGGCAAGACAACTGGTTCAAGATGATCTGACACCTGACTTGGGCAATCAGGGTGAGGTCACAGATTGTTTGCCTAGCTTTCTCGAGCGCAATAATACAAGAATCTAGGTAAGGCGTCCACGGAAGCGGCTCGGCCTTTCTGAAGGAAGCCCAGACACTGTTATCAGGAGCGACGAAGATGAGATGATCAGTCAAATGGAGCTCGGATCACGTATCAGCAAACAGAGGCACTAGCTCACCTGCTTGATATTTGGAACAGGGCAAGCATCGTTCGCCGCTCCTCCAGTGTTCGCTGGAGTGTCTCAGTGTGCGTCTGTGGCACGAGCTGGCCACCTTTGGCCCGGTACGATGTGAAGGCGGGCGCTTCTCTGTGGAGATCCAACTCTTGAGCCATATTTATGGCAAGTTTCAATGTCATGGAGGCGAAGGGCTTTTCCTTTTTGAAAACATGAGACCTGAGTGCCGGTAAGGGATGGGGTTGGTCAGCGTATATAGCCAGGGCTGGCGTGGTGTGTATTGCACCTGGGAAAGCCAAGCCTCGAGGCTTGCTGTCACCCACCAGTTGGTAAAGAAAATCAGGCCAAGGAGGAGATCAAGATTGGCGAGCTGCTCTGCGACAATCCTCCGCGATATGATGTTCCAGATGGTCTCCTCCATCGCAAACTGTTGCGCTATAGACTTCTCGGTTAGGGTCATAATGACAAGCCACAAAAATGGCCTCTCCTCGAAGAGCCTCTGGGCTGAAAGGTCGTCGTTCAGGGTTACGAATGGGAAGACGGTGATGAAGCTGTCATTAAATTCCCGCATTCGTTTATCTTCTTCCGTGTCGTACAAGTACCACCGCTTGCTCGCGGCTTGTATTTCGCGGGCAACGGGTGACATCCACGCTGAGCTGGCGGCACTGGATGGCCATCCAACGGCTCCATCGGCCGGGTCGCTGGTCGCCGCCGGCCTGACCAGCTGGATCGAGGCCGTTGCAGAGTCCATGACGATATCCGGAAAAAGCGAGTCGGCCCCAGTAGTGGGAGTGGCAGAAGGAGGAGGATCGGTTGTCAATGAGACCACTGCGGCGCCTTTGAGCGAGAGGGGTTTCCCAGAACTAGGCGTGATATGCGCACGTAGGAGCGAGACCAGGTCGTCGATCTTTGCCTCGAGGCGGGGCGTACTGCCGGCGTCCGCGATCGAGGGCTCGCCCTGCCGCGGGCGCTGGGCGTCGGGGACACCAGGAGGCGGCGACTGCGACTTGCGCTTGCGGAGGGCGGCGGAGGGCTCGCATTGTTTCCCGAGGCGGTGGCACCTCTCGCACCCGGCTCCGTCCTGGCGGAGCATGCACTTACACTTCCCCCGGACGCATCCCGCGCACGCCTGGCCGTACGCGGCTGGGATGCACGACTTCGGTGGCATTGCTGTCTTCATCTTGTCCCAAAGCTGCCTAGCCCCATGTCATGTGTGTTCCAGAGATGAGCCTGTCTCAAGCCCGCGGGTTGTTGGGCCGACACGGGCTGACAGACCACGTGATGCACGGGTTCTGCGCTCATCATCACTTTGTCTATCCTAATTCCGCCAACGCGAAGTCCGATCATCGAAACCCGCGGGATTCAATGCCGGGGGATTTCCGGAATCCAAAACCGTCCGAAGTTTCTCGCCAAAACATTTATAGAACGCTCATCTCGCCGTTGTTTGATGCAAGATAAGAAAACACCAGAATTAGCAGACAGATCAGATCACCTTGACCATCATACCTAAAACCATAAAACCGTACCCCAGCTACCCCTTTGTCCGGCTCCTCGGGACTCTGACACACACAGAATTCAAGCAAACCCACCCTGATCATGGCTTCCTCCCTCATTGGCCTCGTCAAGCAAGTCTTCCCAGGCAAGCCAAACTTCAAGCAAGATGACCTCCCGGATTTGACGAACAAGGTGAGCATTATAACAGCACACAATTCCTACCAGTGCTGGATAGGCTCTGACTGTACTCCAGGTTATCATCGTTACTGGGTCCAACACGGGCGTCGGTAAGGAGCTCGCCCAGATCCTCTACGCCAGGAACGCCCACGTCTACGTCATGGCTCGCTCCGAGGACAAGTCGCAAAAGGCGATGGACGACATCAGAGCAGCCGTGCCGCAGTCCCAGGGCCGCCTGACCTTCCTCCGCCTCGACCTCGCGGACCTGCCCGCCGTCAAGGCCGCCGCCAACGAGTTCACGCGGCGGGAGCAGCGGCTGGACGTGCTCTTCCACAACGCTGGCGTCGCCTTCCCCGAGGCCGGGTCCCGGACCGCGCAGGGGACCGAGCTGGTGCTGGGCGTCAACGTGCTGGGGCCGTTCCTGCTGACGCGCCTGCTGACGCCCATGGTCGAGGCGACGGCCGCGCTCCCGTCGTCGCCAAAGGGGTCCGTCCGCGTCGTCTGGGTCGCGTCCTCGGCCGCCGAGGCGGTCAGTCCCAAGGCGCTCAAGGGCGCGCTGGCCGGCTGGGAGGGGCTGTCCAAGCCGAACCAGTACTTCTACAGCAAGCTCTGCAACTACCTGCACGCGGCCGAGTTCGCCGCCCGCCACCGGGGCGAGCACATCCTGTCGGCCTCGCTGAACCCGGGCAACCTCGACTCGGAGCTGTGGCGCACCCAGGGCCGCGTGACCCTCTTCCTCATGCGCAAGACGATCCTGTACCCATCCGTGTATGGGGCCTATACGTGCTTGTTTGCGGGATTCTCGCCCGAGATCAACCTGGAGACCACCGGCAGTCATGGTACGTTTGCAACTTCTGTTCCCTACAGTCCCACTTCGCTGGCTGATCACTGACTGATGTCCTGAATGGGTAGTTGCTCCATGGGGAAGGCTGTGGCAAGGGCACATTTCCAAGGAGATGGCCGATGCTGGCAAGCGCAAGTCCGAAGGTGGAAGCGGAATTGCGAGTGAATTCTGGGACTGGTCCGAGGAGCAGATCAAGCAGTATCTCTGAGATTCTCTCGGGCTGTTGTCGTCTTGGATGGAATGGAAAGGTGTGGTTGAAATAAGCAGGGGCGTTGCGGGTTCCTTTTATATGGTAGGAAATGGTTTCTTGGGTAATAATAGGCATATTTTTGGAGTTATTATTTCTTTGGTTAATTTGTAGGAATTGATAGAACAGGTACGGCTCCCGCTCTGGGTCGAACTCTGGTGTTTAGATGTCTTCTCCGCTACATGGTCGTTACCCTAACCCTCTTCATTCGGCCAGGCCATAGCTCTTCAGTGGAGGCGGATCTGTCGCATCATCGATCGCCACACAAGTAAAGCCTCATCAGTGCTAAACTACAGCAAATCTCGCGACCTGCCATGTTTTTGCCTGTTTGCCGGTCCGGGACAGCTCCCACTCTCTTGAATTCCCCGGACTGATGCTAAAACTGGAAACAGTATGCATCGTCCGCCCACCCAAATCTGCACGGCCTGCCTACGAAGGCTGCCCGCCCCCGCCGCACGTCACCCGCACTTCCCGACCCCGCGATCATACTCCAACAAGCCCAAGCGCCGCCCCGACGCGACCGCTCCTGACCCTCCTCCCCCACCGCACCAGCCGCCCAGCGATGCGCCAGCCCAACCCGCCGAGCAGGGCGCCATGTCGCGGCGCCTGGAGGAGGCGACCGAGTCCGCCCTCATGACGGGCGGGCGCGCGGGCCGCCGCGCCGTCGAGGACGCCGGCTTCTCGGCCGAGCTCAAGGCGCGCCTGCTCGAGAAGATCGCCGCCGCCGGCCCTCCCCACGCGGACCCGACCACCTCGGGCATCTCGTCGGCCGTGTCGTCGCTCCCGGCCTCGGCAGGCCGCGACGCGCGCCACCTCGCCTCCTCGCAGCCCTGGATGGGCGAGGAGCAGCCGGCCGACGCCGTGCTGCGCATGCTGGAAGACGCGCACAAGCCGCTCGCCCCGGGCCTGCGCCGCCCAGGCCCCGGTGGCGG